GCTGTGACCATATAAAAATCAGCACCATGGCAACCACCAGCTTTCTACATCATTGGGCTAGTATCACATGGAAATGAGAATAAGGAATAAAAGTTAAAATACTGCATGTGTATTGGTATTTTTCAATACCAAATTAGTGGAAAACAAGTCAGATATGAAAATAGTTATGAACTTAAGGTAAATAAATAAAGATAATGAGGTATATATTGAAAAAAAAACCCTAGAAGTACACAGTAAATCAATGCTGAATTGTAGCCTTTAAGTTCAAAATCCTTTGAGCCTCCTGGACATTCATATAAGGATGTCTCCATACCTGGCTCAAGGATACATACAGCGTTATAGGTCAGAATAAATTGGGAAACCCTTCCTACCCAGAAGCACTTCACCTTCCTCAGTGAGCCTCTCCACAAGAAGCATGTAACTGGGATTAGAAACAAAGGTAACAAAACATGAAACTTAAGGAATGTTACTCCAGGCCAAAAAAAAACTATAATGTACAGAAATTAAGTTGGGAAGGCAAGAAACTTCACAGGGCAAGCCTAGAGCTTTGCCTTGTAGATGTTCTTACCATGAAGATTATCTGTCTGGGTAGTTACAGGATATCATGAAGGAGGATGCGAGCGAATCAAATATATGCACTGAAAGAATGGAAGCTGAGCAAAGAAGGATTTAGGAAATGCTGAGATGTAAGTTGTCTCATTTCCATTCTTAAACAGAACTTATTTGAAAAACACATTCTGCCCTTCTTGAAGGCACCATGAGATCTATCAATGGAAATGCTTCTTATAGCAAGTGAAACCTGTCATCTAGAGGAGGCCTGAACTTACAAAAGTATAGATGTGCATAGCACGCACGTCACAGAAGTGCCAAAGTTACACAGAGCTATTGCAAATCCCATCATTGTGCCTTCCACATTTGAAAAATGTGTTATGCTTGCAAAACAAGGGGCTCCTTCACTTCTCACATCAGTAGGCTCAGAGGGATGAATTCCCAGCTACAAAGACCCACACGCAAAGACCCATGCTCAAAGGTCAAAGACCCACTTCAGATGTCTAAAGAGTACAGGAAACAGTCTTATTTTCAGTATTTAAAGTAGTATAAATACCGAGTGATATGTTATTGTCTGAAATGCAATGGCCAACTATGAATTAAGTACTATAACCATTTTGTTCATAGATCCAAGAAGCAATGAATATACTGATTCTCAGGACTGGATTTTTTTTTTTTTTTAAACAAAATTGAATTATAATTTTTTTTCCCCCTTCAATAAATTAACTTACTTCAAGTCCAGTTGTATTATTTCTATTTGATTCCACCACAAAAGGCATCCTACATATCTGACTGGCAACCTCTAATGGAACATAAAAAGCTTCACGTCAGTAAAGTAAGCCTCATCTGAAAACCACTGGAAACTATGCTTCTAAGTCCTCTGAGCCTCCTTCTAAACCACTTCCATTGGAAGAAAAAAAAAAAAAGGGGGGGGGGAATATTTGAGACACATTTGACTGTCTAATCATTTCTAAAAATGAATAAATTAGTGTGGAAGAAAGCTGTAAGTGGACACTGGCCCAGCTTGTTATCCAAGTCAGGCATAACTACTCCCCAGCTCCTTCCCCCTGACCAAATGGTTCCAAACATTCTGGTATTTTGAATATAAATACTTTGAGGTCAGGACTTATTAACATAGGTACAAAGAGTGCTCAACACAACCAAGAATTGATCTGAAATGGACTCGGTAGGCCTTACTGTAAATAAACATCTAGTAACTTTACTGAGCAAATAAGGTTTTATCCTGAATCAAAAACTGACTCTAATGATAGCTTTAGTAAGTATTGACAGAGATGCCAAAACACCACTTTACCTACATTATGTATCTTTTTTCCATCATTAAAATAAACTTTTTAAAATAGTACATTGAGTATTTTTCTAAAGAAAATTTTAAACATTATTTTACTGTCTGTCTCAAGTAGCTCAATTCCTGTTCTGCTGTTTTCAGTTGCCTCATCAGCACTTAGGAGTTCATGCTTCAGTGACTTCAAGATATCCAAGCATTAGTATACAAGCCAAAATTTAATTCAGAAGCTAAAAGAAAATCAGTAAAGCTACTTTTAGAAGGGAGCAACCTTACTTTATCTAACACAGTATCTGCTGCCTGTAATTCAATTAAAAAAAAAAACAAAAAACAAAAAACAAACCTACAAAAATATCAATATTTTCGGCCAGGGACAGGGAAGCATGGAATATAAATACCTTTAAAAATGCATGAGGAAAAAGAAAACACTTAGCCAGGAACATCTGTGGATTTGCCTTACAAATTTTTAAATCTTTGCAGGGGGAGGGAAAAAAAAAAAAAAAAAAAATCCTGACATCCAAGACAGCATACCAAAATCCAGCCTTAGTAAAGAGACAACCCTGCACAGAATGACCCAACAATCAATGAATTCAAAATAAAAATTAACTAATTTGAATAGGTGTTCGAGCTGGTCCTCCATCAGTATGGGAAAAATTGAACATTAAATCAGCTTTGCCAGGAATAGAATTTGTGGCTCCAGAAACTGCTTTAAAAGGAGAATTACATCATCTTCTTAGGATTCAGGAACAAAAAATTGTAACTATTACCCGCATCATTCTCTGTGTGTACTACTCCAATCTTCCGTGCTTACCTTTGTAGAATGCCGTTTTCTTGTGGTATTACACCATTTATAGCTGCCTGAAAAGGAGAAAACAAATTTTAAGTCAAGCATACAGAGCAACAAAAATAAATCAGAACTTCTAGAATATGTTTTAAGGAGTGATTAGCTTGCTTTAAAATATGCCATAAAATGTTCTCCATTCAGTGAATATTCTTGGTAAACGATATTGTCATTAAAGTACCTGCATAAAACAAAAACCATACCTAAGTGAAAACAAACGTGAACTGAAGCTCAGACTCCTATATGCATGCGATGGATTTACCAGGTGGAATGCATGGGAATAAACTGCATGGCCCATGCTCAGTACACTTGGTACATACATACAGTAAGCATATTGCTTTCAAATACATCGAGCTAACTGTGCACAGACAAGGCAGCCAGCCAGCACATACAGAGAAAATCGCATGTTTCCCAGAAGTATCAGACCCGCACAAGCCTATAAACCTGCACAGCTGCACATACACTGCATGTTGCAAGCCTGATGTGTTCACGAACTGCTGAAGTCAGCGCAAATGGCTACTCAACAGCACACATACCTCGATCACACCTATGCCTTCCAGACAACCTGCTTCTAGTTCACACAAACACCATCTAGCACGTGCCAGAAATGACAACCCCCAAAATTCCAGCCATCTTCAGGTAGAACAGGAAGTATATTTTCAGTAAGGTTTATGTGGTTAAATATCACCCCATGCTGTCCTGATCACCAGAATAAACAAAATATTACTTATAGGTGTAGAAGTACAAACCTGGCAAGCTCCATTCAGATTTGGTCTTATGTGAAATTACAGAATTATTACCTATGAAAATATCCTAACGAATTCTAACTCATATTAAAATGCATTGTTTTTAAAATAGGCACAACATACCCCTGCTGCAAGTTCAAAAACCCACTTCTGACAAAATTGTCTTCTCAGCCTGTTACAGCACTGCTCCATTGCAGAAAGTTTTAATGCATTTCCAGCACATGCGATGCTATAGAAGTTTATATAAACTTTGAAATTATATGTAAGTCAGGATGAGGGGAAAAACTTGGAAAGCAAACAAGGCTCTCTTCAACAGTATTTAGAAGACAACTTATTTTGGACTGCTTTATACCACCAAAAAAGTGTTTTAAAATCATCTAGGATTGCTAGAATTTTTCAGATTTGAGGGGCAGTGAAAGTGATACCACATGAGCTGGTGAAGATGACTTACACATTTTACTCCTCAGCTGATTAAACTTTGTTCTGATTATTGTTAGAAGATACAGGAGTAAAGATGTCAGAACCCTACCTAACTTCAAACTTTTAATCCTAGCCCAGCAGTGGACTGATAAGGTAGAACAGCACGGGAGGGAATTCGACAAGGAATGAGAAAGAATTCAAAAAAAATCTAGAGAGGGAAAAAAAAAAAAAAACCAGACCTCAAAAGACTAATTCTATTTCGGCTCTTTCATGATCTTTATAATCACTAGTGTCTTCACAGGTACGTATTTGTTAGGCTTAAAGGTAAGATGAAAGAGAGCTTGTAGCATCCCACTAATCTCCATTTTCTGCTGTACCAGCAGTGATTCATGCATTTCTACTATCACAGCTTCTAATATCCATTCTGATGTGTCAGATACACCTGACCTGTTGGCCAGAATACCTGGTGAATGAGTGTCTGGTCCCTAATGAAGAAGAGAACGCTGACATTTAGAAGCTCACAGATTCCCTGGTACTCCAGGAGGATGAAGTCAAATACTGCAACTGAACTATGGACAGTTCATCATCTACCAACATCGTTTTTACAAATTAACATTAAAAAAATGCACCTTGAGTGCTTAATAAACACAAATCTTGATATCGTCTAATTTTAAATGCTATGCATTCTTTTTCTATGAATACGTTAGCATGATTTTTTACAATTTCCATTAATAGTAAAGGCTACATAAAGTCAAAAAGTATTTCTGCTGAACTCAGCTAAGTAACTATGATCTTGCAGTAAAATTTATCATGTACTTAGAGACAAATATTGCATAAATAATAGCAAAAAAAGCAGGCAAGGAAAAGGGTCCCAGGTATCTGTAAGCTACAGCAGCTACCCATAAGGCTGTATCAAATTACAGTGAAAACAAAGCTTCCTACCAGATCAGTTTTTAAATCAGTTCATCCACCGTGCATGGCAATAATCAGTGGTTTCTTTCTAAGAACGTGTCTCATTTATCATCATTGTGGTTTTTGCAGTCATACATAGCTCTTGATCATGTTCATCTAATAAACCCCCAGGAAAAAGTGGGAGGTTTTGGTTTGTTTGGGTTTTTCTGGATTGGTTCTCCCCCCCGATACTCTTCAGGAACATACATTTCATTCCTGGCAATCCACAGATAAAGCTGGCTGAAAGACAAAAATATCCTTTATTTTGCATCTGTAGGATACAGAGAGCAAATACAGGTTTTTGTACCTCAGGACCAACACTAATAATGATCTGCTGGTGCAGCAGAATTCTCTTTACTCTGAGAAAAAGAAGCTGCTTCAGCTATGAAGAAATATAGCACAGCGTGGCACTTCCACACTTTTCTGTCAAAGCTCATGTCTCGGTCTCAGGGGATTAAATGAGCTCAAACTTTTTCTAAGCCTAGTTAGAGGGGTTAAATACGATAGAGGCTCCAAGCTATATTCTTTAAAACTGAATAACTCATTTGTTCATGTCCCCAGTTTTGTAAACTTGATGACATTTAAGGAGCACAGCAGTAAGAAAAAACAGCAGCAGCAGCATTATCTACTTTTTTGATGGAAAGACCTCTATTAACCACATTGTAAAAATAAGGAGTCTGGACACTGTTTGTTAAGCAAGATGGAAGACTAAAATTATGTAGACGGCAAATGGTAGCAGTGCATATGTAGATATTGCCTAAATATTAAATACCCATGTTCTTACAAGACATCTATAAGTAGACCCTGAAAAGAAAATAAAAAGGAACAACCATCTGCTTTAGAATTTCACAGGAGGAAGGTTGTGACTATTAGAAAAAAAAAAAAAAAAAAAAAAAAAAACACCAAACAAAAAAAAAGAACAGAACAAGTTATTAAGGCTAGATCTGTTCCAGGCTGTTCTTCCCCAATGTCAGTCCCCTTTGAGAGAGGATCAGGTCTCTACGGTTAAGCAAACATTCAAAGATATTAAATTTTTTTGTCTTTCCATACAGGGATCATTTGATCATCAAAAACAGCCTGTGTGACTAATGTACAGTAATTAAAAAGATGTATTACCCTTGAAATAATTTTAATAACAGGTGCAGTAAATCTATTCATGGGTTATTAAATATAAAGATACCACATCTGGCTCAGAAAATTTCTTCAGCTCCCAATAACCTGTTGCTGAGAGTGCTGCCAGGGAAGTACCACTCCGTACTTCAGCTGTTCTCATACTGTGTATATCCACGAGTGTCACTGCTGGATACTGGGTACCACAACTTCAACAGGTAGTACCTATTCTAATGCGATCACTATTTAAAGACTGAAGCTTGCCTTAAGTGGAAAATTATAGGGGTTTTATACAACTTTTTCTCCCCAAAGCCAAGAATCTTAGGTGTGTCTCAGTGCTACCCATATACAAACTCTATCATAACACTGTTCAAACTTGGAACAGAGGCATAGAAGCAAGGACATAATTATTGTTTTGATGACAATATTCCAACAACTACCAGGCCCACAACTTATTTTAGGAAATCATAAGCCAAATTTAGTTATTCTTCATTTATACATTTTGTTTAGAGATATCACTCGTATATCCAGAAATTGAAACAGTTTATTTAAGAATTTATGAAGCCCTGCATGACCTGATCTAATTGGATCAGCTTTTGACTAGACCGACATCCAGAAGTAACTTCCAAATTCAATCACTCTATGACTCCATTACCCAACAGTATAGGGTATATTGGTGAATAGTACTGAGAATCCTGTGAATCATTTAAATGAATGGGAAGACAGGAATATAATATAATACTGGACTGATGAGTGCCAATTACAAAGGTTGAAAGTAACAATACTTTTTTTGGTGTTTGTTTCAGAAGCAAGCTTCCAGTACCAAAACATATTAAATCCAACTTTTTTCTTGCTTCCCACAAACACAGAAAACAATAAAGCAATAGGGTTAATAAAAGGTTACCAAATTCATTAATAGTTTGGGCAACGCAGAAACTCTGCGGTATTCTACAGACAGACTGAAATTGTTTAAGTGCCTAAGGACCACTGTGAAGCAGACTGAGAAATTTAAAGTTTTTCCTCAAGGGAATATTAGCTTAAATAGATCAGTCAGTTCTGACTAAATGTGACTATCTTTTACGAGTACAAAACAGTGTTAGAGAGAAAAATAAGATGAGCCATTTCTTAATAACTTGATGAAGCAACAATGTTGACGACTTCTCTCAAAACACACAATTACAGCACTAACAATTTAAAAGCAATTAAGTACATCTTACAGTGACTCTTACCCCAGGGGAATGAGGGTCCTATGAATAATTATGAACGAACTGTGGTATTTCAGATAGCACAAAAACTAAACTCCGAAGTTTAAAATACTCAGGGGTTATCACCAAGTTTGAAAACAGACTGGATTTGCCAATCGTATTATTTAAAAGCAGAGGTCTACATATAGTGATTGTATATTCAAACAAGGCAGGGAATTCATTCCTCTTCATGAACTACGGATAGGAGGTAGTTTTTAAATTTCCAGAATTTAAAAATTATATTTAGATTAATAATCTTAACACTTAAAACCAGGCCCCGACAAAAGCACAATTAAAGGCTTTTGCAATGGGTGAGGTGGGAGATCTTCCTCTTGTTCCCTCTCCTTCCCAGTCTCCATACCACACAATGATTTTGGCTGACAGATACAGACCCTGCCCTAGATATAGATCCTTTAAAACTTTCCCCACTCAAATCCCTATCCCAATGAAGAGCAAGAGCTTTTATGATATAAGATCAACTTTCCAAAACGGTATTAGAAAACACATCTCTGAGCAAAAGAAGAAGGCAAGTTCAAGCAGCATGAT